AACGCGTACGATAGAGTCTGGAAGAAGGGGCTCCTGCTAAAGCTTCAGAGATTAGGAGTAAGTGGTCATTTATATTTCTGGGTGAAAGATTTCCTCAGAAACAGAATGATTCGAACAAAGTATGGATCCCAAATCTCGAAGTACGTCCAACTGCAGGAAGGTCTGCCCCAAGGCTCGGCGCTAAGCTGTATTCTGTTTGTAGTGTACATTAATGACCTGCCGGATGTAATCTCTGCCGAGAATGCACTCTTTGCGGATGACGCGGCACTATGGCGCACAGGGAAAAACGCAGTAGAGATGGCACGTGACCTCCAAAAAGACTTAGACTCCATCAGAGAGTACACCACAAAATGGAGAATAATAGTGAACACGAGCAAAACAACGTGCACGCTGTTCACGTTGTGCCGTCTAATAAAGGAACAGAAGTTCCAACTCAGATATGCAGATGAGCCACTGGAACAAATGGACGAGGCGCGATACCTGGGATGTGTCCTCGACCAAAAATTACATCTGCACAAGCTCATGGAGGAGATAGCCGGAAAGTGTGAAGAGCGGCTGAACTTAGTCAAAAAACTGGCCGGGACAAGCTGGGGGTGCTCAGCAAAGACATTGCGAGCCGCATTTATGAGCTTCGTCCGTAGTAAGTGGGAATACACATACCCTATACAATGTATTGCAAGCAACACGAGTCTGGAGAACCTCGAGCATGTCCAAAATCAGGCAGTACGCCTCATAACAGGAGCCATGAAAAGCTCCCCTGCAGCCGCAGGTGAAGTGCTGGCCTGTGTAGAACCCCTACACATCAGGCGCAACAGGAGCTTGGTACTGGCGGTCGAAAGGTTCAAAAGGCTCCAACAAGGTGACCCCCTGAGGGACATGTTGGACATAATACCAGACGTCCGTATCCAGAAAGTATCGTGCCTCAGTAGGTACCAAGAAGTGAGCAGAAAGCTCACCATACCAGCAAATCGTGAGCCAATGACTGTAGTAGGGAAGGTCAGGCCCGACATCTGCACAAACCCCATCATCCGAAGTGAAGGCACAACGGTCGTTGATAACCAAGCACTCAAATCCATAAAGATTTACACAGATGGCGCGAAATCGAAAGTGGCCTCTGGAATTGGGATAAGAATACTGGATATCGACGGGGCTGTGCACTGGGAAGGAATGAGAAATGCAGGGAAATATAGGACCCTGAGTGAAGTTGAAGCCCTAGCGGTAGACCTGGCTCTAAAGCATACCCTTAAGGACTTGAGGGAAAAGAAATTAAAACCAGGGAACATAACAGTCCACACAGATAACAACGCCTTGGTCGTGACAGTAGGCAGGATCTCAAACGATAAAGTAGTCAATGAAATCCAAGAAACGATAAGGTTACTGATGACAGAATTTGGGTCACTGGTAACGATTCAATGGATACCGGGACACCAGGGAGACCCACACAATGAACGTGTGGACCTGCTTGCAAAGCAGGGGATATTTAGAACTGCCCCAGATGAAAGTGTGTCCCTAGGAGCGCTTAAAGCTGCGCTTAAAAGAGAATCCAATGAGATGTGGGTCAAAGAGTGGGGACAAGGTACGACAGGCAGAGAAGTCTCGAGAAATCACAAGGCTCCATCAAGTGGAGACAAGTGGTGGGACTTGAGTAGAGCAGATCAGATCGTCATCACCCAAGTGAGGACGGAGCACTGCCCCACGAGACAACAGCTGCACGCATTAGGGAAATCCAGCGAGGACAAGTGCCGTCACTGTGGAACTGCAGTGGAAACCATAGCGCACTTGGAGCGCTGTAAAAATCTTAGGCAAGCCAGGGATGATATATTGGGTGTCGGAGGAAAATGTAAAAAGTATGGGACGACGGAGGAATTACAGAGAACAGCAAGGTACTTCAAGGTGGCCCTGAAGGAATGAACGTGGAAGGGGAGGGATGCAGAGAGCGCGACGGTGCGGGGGGTGGTAGAGAGAAAAAAAGAAGAAAAAAACCGCACTGCTTTGCATTTCTTTTCCTCCCCAAAATTAAGAGGTGTCTCAGTAGTGCAGATTGAACGACCTGAAGTGGTCAACTAGGGGGGAATTCCTGGATGAACGCCTGGTGGTGTCCGAATACCCGGATGGGGTAAACTAAAGGGGGAATCCCTGAGTCTGGAGGAATGCGTGGATGCATGGAAACCAAGGCAGCTAAGGCTACCCACAAACGATAAATGCCCGATCTAGACGGTAATTCCGGGGCAAAGAAACAAGCGCACGCCAGAAAACGTGTGGCGGCAGCGCATCTAGATCACAGGCGTTCCCGATGGGCTAGCCAGAAGAGTTCTCCTGCTGCTGCGGGTGAGATACTGGCTAATATTGAACCAATAGAGATAAGACGGGACAAATGTCTTATGACCACCATAGAAAGGTTCAAGAGACTCGAGAGTGGGGACCCACTAAGAGAGTTATCAGAACAAGTACCAACTGGAAGGATCCAAAAGGTGTCCCCACTCAGTAGATACTTAGAGCTGTGCAAGTCTACCAAAATCCCAACCAATAGGGAAATGATCAAAGCGGTAGGCAAAGTAAGACCGGACTGTCGCACAAACCCGATAATCAGAAATGACATCGATCTCTCCAAAGACAGCACCCTGAACTTGATTAAGGTTTATGTTGATGGTGCAAAGTCAAAAAATTCCTCCGGCGTAAGAATTAGAATACTAGATGGCAAAGGTGACTTACACTGGGATGGAGCAAGAAACACAGGCATCTTCAGAACCGTGCGTGAGGTGGAAGCCCTCGCGATAGAAATTGGAATGAAGCAGGTACTCACGGACCTGCGAACCAAGACATTACGAACGAATGATATTGTGGTGTTTTCTGATAATGCCCCATTGGTGAAAGAAATAGGAAGGATTTCCAATGACAAATGTATTAATGAAATACAAGACACAGTAAGGTCAATAATGACTGAACTGAGATGCCTGGTATATATTCAATGGATTCCAGGGCATCAAGGCTGTCCGCACCACGAACGTGCAGACTTACTGGCAAAACAGGGCTTAGGCAGAGCAACGCCAGATGAAGAAGTTTCAATTGGCGCGGTAAAATCAGTACTGAAAACTGAATCAAATATGGCCTGGGTAAGAGCCTGGGAAAAGGAAAAAACGGGGAGATCAGTCTGGATCCACCATAAAATGCCGACCAATAAGGACAATTGGTGGGAACTGAAGCGACAGGATCAGACAATTATAACCCAACTGCGAACAGAGCACTGTCCAACAAGGCGATATCTCAAATCCATGGGCAAGACGGACGATGACACCTGCCGTCATTGTAAGATGGCAATTGAATCAATCAAACATCTGGAGTGTTGCCAAAACCTCAAGGAATCAAGGCTACAGATACTGGGTCCAGAAGGCAAGTGCAAGTGCTATGGAACAGTGGAAGAAATGCAGAGAACTGCCAGATACTTCAACAAAGCCCTGGCGGAGTAAAGAACCGGAGAGAGGAAACTATCTGGATGGATGTCTCCACAAGAAACAAGAAATGCGCGGGGGATGCAGGGAGGGGGGAAGGGGGGGTCCAACTTCTTTGTATTCCTCTGAGCTTTGCATTTCTTTTTTTTTTCCGCATCCAGGTAAGAGGTGTCAGGTGATGGGCCCGTCGAAATCCGCGGAAAGAGTGGCATGCCTCGGAGAAGGCAAACTAGGGGGGAATCCCTAACAAAAGTGGCAAGAAATCTGCGGAAAGAGTGGTACGCCTCGGTGAAGGCAAACTAGGGGGGAATCCCTAACAAAAGTGGCAAGGAAATCTGCGAAGAGAGTGGTACGCCTCGGTGAAGGCAAACTAGGGGGGAATCCCTAATAAGGGTGGCAAGAAAATCCGCGGATAGAGTGGTATGTCTCGGAAAACTAGGGGGGAGTCCCTAACCAAAGTGGCAGGAAAGGAAGGAAATGGAGCAGGGATAACCAACGCAGCTAAGGCTATTCACTTGATAGACGCCCAGATCTAGTCGGTAATTCCGGGGCCAAAATACAAGCGCATGCCGATTTACGTGGGGTATTGCGCGATCTAGATCAATCGGCAATCCCGATGGGCTAGCCAGAGGGAAGGGACAACAGGTGACCAGAAGAACTCTAAGGGAAACCAAGGAGTACGTTTGGAAGCCAGTTGTGTGATCCCCGAGGAACAGAGGCCCTAATCGGTCACATCTTGGGAACTAACCGCAGGGGAGTAAGACTGTAGACTCTGCCCCGGAGGGAAGGGACCGAGAGTAGGAACTCTGGGAATCTGGGTGGAACACCGGCCATATGGGCTAACTGCCCGACGCTGCCTGCCATTTATCCACCGGTGCCAGTCCACATGCATTCACTGCATCGTCCAGCGCCAGGAGCCGTGCCTCCGGTGCCAGCATCTCGCTGTACACGTCCGTCATTTCGTCCAGCACCTCGGTGCCTATGGTGCCAGCATCCAGCTGCGCGCCTTGTCCGATTCCATGAGTCGTGGGGCGTGACTCTGATGCCAGTCCACCTTCCACATGCATTCGCTGCATTGTCCCACGCCAGGCGCCGTGCCTCCGGTGCCAGCATCTCGCTGTACACGTCCGTCATTTCGTCCAGCACCTCGGTGCCTATGGTGCCAGCATCCCTGCTGCGCGCCTTGTCCGATTCCATGAGTCGTGGGGCGTGACTCTGGTGCCAGTCTACCTTCCACATGCATTCACTGCATCGTCCAGCGCCAGGGGCCGTACCTCTAGCGAAGTAATAATACCTCATAGCACGACTACACATATCCCATATACTCAAAGACTTTTGTCCTATGTATTTTCAGATATAAACAATAGGACAGAAGAGATGGAGTCAAATGACCTCTCCTGTGGCACGGGCAGGAAAAGAAAAAGGAAAAGAGATCTCAAAGCCAAACACGAAAGGCAGAGGTCAAAAAAGAGAAAACTTAAACACCCACGATTAACCGCAATTACGGAACAAGAATGGTGGGACAAAAAATGGAGGCGAGTGGCCAGATTCCACAACAATGAGGAGAAACTATCTACAGATAGTGACGCTACATGCAAACCAGACAAGGCTGAAGCTGGCAGCCTAATCATTCTGCAACTAAATGTCAACGGCCTTTGGCCTAAAGAACAATTGGTATCAGACCTGCTACAAGCAGAAAAAGTCGATGTGGCCCTATTACAGGAGACCCGACTAAAGGGCAAATCCATAAACATACTTAATTATGTTGCCCACGTTTGTAAGTGCTCAGTAAGGTGTCATGGCCTAATGACACTGGTACGAAAATCTCTAACCACCAGAATAAAAGAGTGTAGGTGGGAAAAACCTAACACTGACTCCATACATTTACAGGTGTGGAAAGACGGTATCTCATACGATATCTTCAATGTCTACTCTCCCCCAAAACTAACTGTGGATCTGGACTTTGAAAAGTCCGCTTTCACCAAAACATTAATAGGAGGTGACTTTAATGGCCAAGCAACCCTATGGGGGTACAAGCGAGTCAATAATACTGGGAGAAAACTGTTAGACCTCTGTAACTCCACCAACTTGTGTATTATGCAAAGCGTTGAGACCCCACCTACTTGTATACATACAAGTAATGGTAGAGAATCCAGGCCGGATCTCACCATTATCTCTAGTGACTTGAGGCATAAGTCCACGCTTAATGTCCTCAAAGACATTGGAAGCGACCATCTTCCAATTCTTATCAAAATAGGAAAAAATGACGTTTTAGCAAAAAGCTCTCGTCCAAACACATGGAGGTACCAAAGCGCAAACTGGACGAAATTCGCCAGTTTAACAAACTCCTCAAATTTCCTCTTTAAAAGGAAAAAAGGGCCCCCCCCCCCAGTGGAATGTACGATAAATGGTGCGCAGGTGTCCTCACTGCAGCAAAACGATCAATTCCTGTGGGGAACAGGTGTCAAAATAAGGGCTGGTCCACAAACCCTGAACTGTGCAAACTCATAAAGAGTAGACATAAAGCCAGAAGACGGGCGCACAAGTCGGAATCGGCTCGCAACAATTATAATATATTGTCCAGAGAAGTAAAATCCATGCTCACTAAACTCAAAAGAGAAGCGTGGACGAGTAAATGTCAAAAACTTGACCTAAAAAAGGACGCCAAAAAAGCATGGAATATGCTCAAAATCCTCACGGGGACCACCCCTTCCAACCCAAGCCCTATAAGGGCAAGCAGCGGGAGACTAGCCACCTCCGACCTGGACAGGGCACAAGTCCTAAACAAACACTTTGCTGAATCCAACAAGCAAAAGAAATGGTCCCAAGAAGGGAAATTCCTTGAAAAGGAACTAAAGGAATTAGAAAGCAGTCCACAATTTGACATGAATTCGATCATGTCATCGCAAATCACACGCAGTTAATTTGAATTCGCCCTTTCAAAGTGCAAGGACAACACTGCAAGTGGTCCAGATGGAATATCAAATAATATGCTCAATAAGCTTGGGCCAAAAGCTAAAACAGCATTGTTTAATTTGATCAAACTCACATGGGATACAGGCAAAATCCCAAACCAGTGGCGAGAAGCCAGGATAACGGCACTCTTGAAAAAAGGAAAACCTCCCGAAAGCCCCGGGAGTTACAGACCAGTTTCGCTCACATCCTGTGCTGGTAAAGTTGCCGAAAGAATAATCAATAGAAGATTATACTGGTACATGGAGAGGGGAAACCTCATCAACAAGAACCAATGTGGTTTCAGGACAAATCGACAAGCTCCTGACCAGATTATCCGCCTCACGCAAAGGATAATCAATGGGTTCCAAAACAAAGAGTACAGTCGGAGTGTTCCTCGACTTGTCCCAAGCGTACGATAAAGTCTGGAAAAAGGGTCTAAAACTAAAAATGCTTAAGCTGGGCATAAACGGCAAACTATATCGATGGATTTGCGATTTCCTAAAGGATAGATCAATCCAAACCAAATTTGGCACTCAAGTGTCCAGCATGGAACACTTGGAAGAGGGACTCCCGCAAGGGTCGGCCTTAAGTTGCCTTCTATTTCTGATCTACATTAATGATCTGCCCGGAATTGTAAGATCAGAAATTGCACTACTCGCCGATGATATAGCCCTGTGGCGAACAGGCAAAGATGTAGAGGAACTGGCAACTCACCTACAAACCGACTTAAACCAAATTGATGTCTACCTCACAAAGTGGAAAATCGAACTAAACGTTTCAAAATCCACATACACATTGTTCACTTTAAGCAGGGATGCTACCAAAGTACCCTTTCTACTAAACTTTGGTAAGTTAACCCTAACCCGAACTAACACTGCGTGCTACCTAGGATGTACGCTTGACCCAAAGCTGCACCTCCACTGCAATATTGACAAATTGGTAGAAAAGGCAAACGAAAAGCTACGTATGGTAAAAATGCTGGCGGGCACCAAATGGGGGGCCTTAGCCAGTACACTGAGAGGTCTGTTCATCGGTGCGGTCAGGTCATTGCTAGATTATAGCATGCCTTTTATAAACATAGCTAGCGACACGGCGCTCCAAAAGCTCAACCTCATCCAAAACCATGGTACACGTCTAATCTGCGGAACATTTAAAAGTTCCCCTATCTCAGCAGGAGAAGTAATGGCCAACCTCGACCCTTTACACATTCGAAGTGCCAGAGCGATGCTCATGTCGCAAGAACGTTTCCTCAGACTGGATCCGTCCGATCCCCTACATGAGCTCATGCTCGACCCACCTAACAGAAGGCTGGCAAAAAAGTCCTTCCTCAGTCAGTGCTTAGAACTGAGGAAAGTGATCTTTACCCCAGATAAAAGAGGGAAACTCAGAGCTGCAACAAAGCTAAGTCCGGACGCAAAAGATTGCTTTAAGCTTGAAAAACTGCCCCAGTCACACCAACCAACCCCAGGTTTAGCACCCCAAAGCATCCAAGTCTACATTGATGGGGCTAAAACGCGGTGACAAAGCTGGCTTTGGTGTACACATACTACTTCCTAATGGTACATCTATCGACAAATCAGGAGCGTATAGACGCTTCTACACTTCCCAAGAAGCCGAACTAAAAGCACTCAAAATGGGGCTGGAGACCCTAGTCAGTTTAGATAAGGCAGTCCTTAAGAATCAAACAATACAAATCTATACGGATTGCCAAGGTTTAATAAAAGACCTTAAAGATAAAAAAGCCCAAGTTAAAATAGCCCAGGTTCACTGTCTATTTGAAAAAATTGGAGAACCTATCTGTAAAAAATGGCACAACAATCACATGGCGACAAAGCCACTCAAACAATGCCGAACACGAATTCGCTGACCATTTAGCAAAAAAAGGTCTAGAGGATCGAATTCCGAACAAAAAGGTGTCTTGGAATGGACTAAAAACCTTATTAAGAGAACAATTCAAAAATCTCTGGCTCAAAGAGTGGGCAGAAAATACTAATGGGAGGTTAGTATGGGCCCATCTCAAAAGCCCTAGCCCACAAGACCCTTGGTGGGGCCTAAATAGAAGCGAGCAAACAATAATTGCCCAGGCCAGGACTGGACACTGTCCAACTAAAGAACATTTACACTCATTGGGCAAAAGAGAAAATAACCTGTGCCGTTATTGCAAGATCGAAATTGAGAGCCTAGATCACATTGGTACATGCGATCGTCTCAAAGAGAAGAGGGAACACATACTGGGCAGTAAAGTCTATAAACCAACCCTCTATGGGCCCCAATCTGCCCTAACAAAGAGTGCAAAATACCTAAGAGAGGTCTTAAAGGATGAATGAAAAAAAAAAAGAAAAAAAAAGAAAAAAAAATTTTTTTGCTGGAAAATGCTGGTCAATTAAATGGATAGAAAAAGAAAGCCAGATAGGATGGCAAGAAGCTGGATACTGCGTGCGGTTGAAGTGACAACCCGGTTAGTGCCCTTACCTAGTCAGCGTAAGCCGGGGCAAAGTTTGAAAAAGCGACTACCAATTGCGTGGGGTAGCATCGCATCTAGGTAAAAAATCACAGCCCCAGGAATAGCCGAGGGGCAAGGGCTCAAAGCTGAAAGGAGCAGGGGTCTTGGCCCCCTAACCAATTGGCGATGAGTGTCCTCCCTGCAACCAAGCAAACATAAGATTGATGTAGCAATGCATCAATTAAGATTGATGTAGCAATGCATCAATCAAGGCAACATGTCAGGATGCGTAAGCTCCATTGTTCAATGAGTAGCCATTGCAATGGTGTGAACAACTTCTGATAAGTATGAATCTTGGAAACGGGTTGAGGACCGGCCATATGAGCAGAAATGCTCGGAGCTGCTGTGTCTTTCAAGTCTGGTGCCAGCAGCCGCGGTAATTCCAGCTCCAATAGCGTATATTAAAGTTGTTGCAGTTAAAAAGCTCGTAGTTGGATCTCGGGTGCAGGCGGGCGGTCCGGCTCGCGCCGGTTCACTGCCCGTATTAAATCCTGCCCTACTTGTCTGTTCAACAAGGCAGACCCTACGCCGATTCCCACGGCACAAAAACCCTATGCCCCAAGTGTGAAGCAACCACACAAAGGTGCAGGACAAGTGGGTTCTGGGAAAAAGAAACATGTGTTCACATGTCTCCAATTGAACGCAAACGGACTGGGACCCAAGGAGTCGGAAGTTCGGGATATTCTTGAGGAACATGACATAGATATAGCCATGTTCCAAGAAGCGAGACTAGGGTCCCAGAGTTTCGCCATCAACGGATACACCACATATAAATGTGGGTGTAAAGACTGCAGGGGCGTCGTGACGTTGGTCAAATCAACCTTGAAGTGTGTGCTTAAGGATCCAAAACTGAGTAAACCCAACTAAGATACAATTACCGTAAAGATCTGGAAGGGAGCACAGTGCTTCACTTTCATAAATATGTATTCTCCGCCCAAAAATACCATTGACTTGAATTTAGGTCAAACAAATTTTCACAGCACGGTGATAGCAGGTGATATGAATGGGCAGTCACCATATTGGGGCTATAAACTCACCAACCCCACAGGTAAAAGGATAAATGAGTTTTGCAATAGCACAAACATGATTAGGCTGCAAAACAAGTCCACTCCGTGCACCTTTCTCCATTCCGGGAATGGGAAAGAATCGAGACCAGACATTACGTTGGTCTCCAGCAACTTAATAGACAGGTGTGATTGGATGGTACTAGACGACATTGGAAGGGACCACAAACCCATACTAGTAAAGTTTGAGTTTGGGGGAGCCAGTTTCCAACAAGCAAGAACACATGCGTGGAACTATAAGGCCGCTGATTGGCTGGGGTTTGCGGAAAAGATGGAGACATGGGTGTGCAGTAGAAGGGAAAAAGTGGTAGATGTGAATGCCGCATACGACCAGTGGAAGAATGTAGTGCTCACAGGCGCTCTGAAAACGATACCAAAGAAAGGTATCGCGAAAAAGTACCACCCGAACTGGACTCCCACCCTAGCCAGTCTAATAAAGAGAAGAAAGGAGGCCAGGAAGTTGGCCTCCGAGTCAGTAGTAGTAAGAACCCAGTATAACAGCCTGACGAGCCAAGTCAGGAAACTGTCAAGGGAGTTAAAGCGAGACGCCTGGAGGAAAAAATGCAGCAGCATTGATGCAGGGAAACGTCCAGACAGAGTCTGGAGTTTAATGAGAAGTATAGCTGGCTTGAATAAGAAGTCCAACCCCAGCCCAATACGTGGGCGGAATGGACAACTGCTGTCAAATGATAAACACATTGCTTCTGCCCTGAATAAACACTTTGCGTCAGTCAACAAGAAGGAGGACTGGTCAGTGGAGGGCCAGGCACTGAATGACGAACGCAAACAGAGGGAGGCGAGGACAAGAGTTGATACCTCGAGTGTAATGTCCTCCACCTTCACTTTAATGGAACTTGATGAGGCGCTAGAGAGGTGTAAGACAGGCACTGCAGTGGGTGGCGATGCCGTTTCAACGGATATGTTGGTCCACCTGGGACCAAAAGGCAGACTTAGTCTCTTAAAGATCATAAACAAATCTTGGATAGAAGGAAAGATTCCGGATTGCTGGAGGCAGGCGACCATAACCCCCCTAATGAAGGGTGGGAAACAAGCCGAAGAGATGGAGAGTTACAGGCCCATCTCTTTAACATCTTGCACAAGCAAGATCATGGAACGAATGGTGCAGAAACGCTTGGATTGGTACTTGGAATCAGAGGACCTAATCCACCCGAACCAAGGCGGCTTTCGGAAAGGCCGAAAGGCCACAGATCAGGTGATTAGGTTTACAGATAGTGTCATAGGCGGGTTTCAGTCCAAAGAAAGCACAATTGCGGTGTTTTTGAACCTGAAACAAGCCTACGATAAAGTTTGGAAAAAAGGTCTGTTACTAAAACTACTACGTTTGGGCATTGAAGGTAGGCTGTATTATTGGATCAAAGATTTTCTCAGGAATCGTTCTATCAGAACAAAGTATCGCTCCCAGGTATCGAACTATGAGGAGCTAGAAGAGGGATTACCACAAGGGTCGTCCTTGAGTTGCGTCCTGTTCCTAGTGTTCATAAATGACCTGCCGTCAGAGATCAGATCAGAATCGGCTCTCTTCGCGGATGATGGCGCACTATGGAAATCTGGGACCGATGCACAGGATATGGCGAACGACCTCCAGGAGGATTTGAACCGACTGGTGAATTACACAAATAAATGGAGAATAGTGGTAAATATATCAAAAACCACCCACACTCTGTTTACGTTGTGTAGAAAGATCAGAGGGGAAATATAGATTGCAGTTTGCGGGTAAGACCTTTCAGCAGACTGAAGACGCCAAATATTTGGGTATTACGTTAGATCCCAAGCTTCATCTCCACAAACACGTGGACGAGTTAGTGGAGAAGGCGTCAGAGAAGCTTAAAATTGTAAAGAGGTTAGCTGGAATGGATTGGGGGGCCAATGCCAGTACCTTGAGAATGCTGTTCATGAGCACAGTAAGGGCCGCATGGGAATATAGCTACCCGATCCAGTGTATTGCTAGCCCAACGGCCCTTGAAAAACTAGATCAGATACAGAATCAGGCATTGCGTCTTATTACGGGGTCGATGAAGAGTTCCCCTAACGCAGGGAATGAAATCTTGGCCAATATGGAACCTATATGGATAAGAAGAAACAGAGCCCTGATGGCCACCATTGAACGGCTCAAAAGGCTCAAGGATGGCGACCCTTTACGTGTCCTAGTGGAGACCACCCCAGGGTCCAGGCTTCAGAAAAAGTCATGTGTCCAAATAGGCCAGGAACTCCTAGCAGAAGTTGGAGTGCCAGAAAATAGGGAGCCTTTGGCAATCGTAAGTTGTGTCAGACCAGACATCAGAAATTGTGCCCAAACTATAGTGAAAGTTGAAGGCAGGGGTGCGGCTGAAATGGAACCCAGGAACCCTAAAAAGCCCCACATACAGTTATATGTGGATGGAGCCTGCATGAGTGAGGGTACTGGATACGGTTGTCTCATCAAGTTCCCAGAGGATAGGGACCCAATCGAAATCTCAGAGAACGGTGGGAGATTTAAGAAATCGGGTGAAGTTGAAACATTAGCCTTGGCAATGGGACTAAGAAGAGTGAAGCAGGAGTTGGAAATCAGGCAGACAACGGCTCAGGAAGTAAGAGCATACTCGGATAATGTAGCCCTAGTAAGAAACATGAGACGAGTGAGAGCAGATACGTATGTCAACATAGCGCAGAAGGAAGTGCAGGATATACAGACAGCTCACGGCATAAAGATCATAATTGAATGGGTAGAAGGCCACGGTGACGTCCCTAAGCAGACGGCATCA